CGCGCGCCATGCGTCCCCAGTATCCCCCGGCCTGGCCCACTGCCCCCACGCCGCTCTGCTGACAGCCCAGCCCGCGCCTCGACAGGGGGAAGTTGTGGCGGCTGGCGGCCGGGGAGGTCAGGAGTCCCCGCGGGGAGCGCAGCGACGCGCCCCCCGCCCCCGCGCGCCTCGCTGCAGCCGGGCGCCCGCTTACCTGCCCCCCACCGTCCCTCCCTTTTCTCCTCAAGTCCTGAAGTTGAGTTTTCGAGGCGACACGGCGGCGGCGGCCACGCTGCTCCCGCTCCTCTGTCTCCCCATGGATATGCACTGCAAAGCAGACCCCTTCTCCGCGATGCACCGTGAGTACCGGCGCCCTGTCCGGCTTGGGGCTCTGCGTCCCAACCTTGTCCTGTCCCGAGGCGGCCCCGGCTCCCTGCGCTCAGTCCCCATCTCGGAGGCCACGCTGGCTCCTCCTGGCCCCCCATTTCGTTCTTCCACGTTCCCTCGGCCCGGTGTTTCTCATGCCTCCAGCTTCCTTTTTCTCTGCCTGTCACCCAGACTTCTCCATCCTCTGCCTGCCTCCCCACCTGCCCTGGTGCCAGCACCTGCCTTCTCTCCACCTTCTCCTTCTCGGGGCGAGCCCTCTGCAGTCCCTGGCCCTGCCTCCTGCAATCCCATGCACTCCCTGGTGACCCTCCAGTCCTGGGCAGGGGCAGAAAGGGGCAACCAGTTTTCAGGGTTGTGTTTTGTATTGTGTTTTCTCTCTGTTCTTGTTTCACACTCTTTCCTCTGCCTCTTCCTCTCCTCCTTTATACCTTTCTCAAACTTAGAGTTGGGGGGTGTCCAGGAGGAGACTCCCAGCGTGGGCAGCCTCAGTGGCAGGACAAACCAGCTACAGAATGTGGGGGTGGGGTGCCCCCTTCTGACCCTCAGAGCTCAGTAGCTCCCGTGCCCAGCCAAGAGCAGCTCCTTGCCGGATGCCTCGCTCAACCTTCACTTGCCTCCTCTCATCTCATCCCTTCCTCTTCACCTGCCCCTGAGTTGGGGCTGAGTTGGCAGGACACCATAGTGGTGGGCATCTTCCCTCGACCCCTTTGAAGATGCTCTAAAAACAAAGGGGAGTTCCGGGGAGAAATTGAAGTCAACGCCAGGACAAGCCCAGAAGCTTCCTGGGTGGCCCTCCAAGAGCGCAGCTCTGCCTCGGTCCTGGAGGCTCAGGCCGTCCTCCTGCTCCCTGGCAGGGACTGTGCAGCCGGGACCTGGCCAGGGGTCGCAGTGCGGGAGAAAGCGAGTGTGTGTGTGTGTGTGGGGGGGGGGAGAACAAAAGGAAGGCAAATGCCAGAGCTGGGGAGCCAGGAAGGAAAATTCAAAACGAAGAGGAAGGAAAGAGAAGAAATGGAGAGAGTCTTCAGGAAGGACAGGAGAGCGGGAGAAAAGAAGCCGGAAAAGGGAGGAATTATTTTAGCAAAATTTCTATTTATTTCTTTCATTTGTCTTAGCTTGGGAACCAATCCTGAAATTTTTTTGCGGGCTTCTTTCTTGTTTTGTTGTGTTTTTTGTTTTTTGTTTTTGTTTTTTTTTAAGATAAATCTAAATTGAAAGGTCCTCCCATCTGTAGATTAGCAATTAAGGGTAATTTGTAACTTTTCACAGGGAAACTTTTTAGGTCAGATTTTGGGCCTTTGCTTCAGAAAAGAGAGCCGAGGAGAGAGAAATGAAGGGTTTTGGTTTTGTGTTTGTGTTTTCCCCCCTCCTCATTAAGCTTTACAGGATCACAGGGGGGAGCTTTATAAAATACTCTTGGAATAAAATAAATTTCCCTAAATAATCTTCAAGCCCTGAGAATCCGAGTCGGAGCCTCCAGAGCCGGGGAAAGCCTCGCTCCTTTCCGCAGGGAGAGGACCCGGGCCCGCGGCCGGCCGCCTTCCCACCGCCTGCCTCTCGGCCCGGCTGCCCCTGCTGGCGCTCTCCTCTCCCGCTGACTCTGCAGGGACCCTGCTGAGTCCCGCCGCCCACCGGGTGCCACTTTGACGCCCAAAGGGAAGCCAGGCAAGCGGAAGGGGGTCGGAGAAGCGAGCGAGGCGCGCGCGGCCGGCGGGCTGGCGGGTAAGAGCGCAGCCGAGGCGGCGCCCGCAGCGGTGGCGCATTCCAGGCCCGGCTCTGCGCGGCCGCCCGGGCCCAGTTCTGGACCCCCGCCCTGCCCCTTTTCCATCCCCACCCTTAGATTGGGGCCGAAGGGCCGGGCCGGGAGCCCGACAAGGCTGAATTATTCATCTTTAATCTGCCCGCAGCTGCCGCCTTTTCACACCGGTAACGCGAGTTCTCCCGGGGCCTAAATTATTGATGTTGGGGGTTCGGAAGGAGGGGAGGGAGAGGAGTGGGGCGAAGGGCAGGTAGAGAGACCAGGGGATTAAAGGAGAGCTTCCTTCCTCCTCCAGCCAGAGGCCAACTCCCTAGGGTTTTCCATAACCCTTGCGCCTGATCCCCCCTTTAAAAAGGGACCTTAAAGGAAGGGAGGTGCGGGGATTGCAGATTGCCCCGCTTTCTCCGAAAGCCGCCCGAGGCTGGCAGGGCAGAGGCTGCAGGTCGCGGGCCCGCACCTGCCGAGGAGCCGCTGGAAGTGTCCTGGGAATGCTCTGGGGCTGCGGCTGCGGCTTGAGGGCTCTGGCTGCAGGCTTCCTGGACTGCAGCAGGCTGGGGAGGGCAGGCACGGGGCTGCGCCCTCAGGCCTGGCACCCGGAGGCCACCTGGCTCCGAGGTGGGGAGCCCGCGCTGCAGCCGGGTTGGAAGCCCAGCGCCCTCCTCTTGGCTTCGCCAGGAGAGCGAACGGCCCAGGGGCTGAGCGGCCTGCGCGGCCGGTGGCCCTGACGGCCGGCTGGGGGCTCGGAGGGATCGAGGCGTCCGGGACACGCGCGCGGTGGCCCTTGGAGCCGCCATCCCGGCCAAGGCGGCAGGCCTAGGTTCGGCGCCGCAGCAGCGGGAAAGCCCGGGCCGCCTGCGCGCTCGGCTGCTGCGGGCGCCGCTCTGCGCTCAGCCGCGTCCCCGGCTGGAGGGCAGCGGGCCCCACTCTGCAGCCTCTGCCTTGCGTCCTCAACCTGCTGTTCTTTGAACTTTAGACACTGGGGCAGCGAGGGAGAAATACGGTTCTCAGATAACAAGAGACAAAAATGAAGGCAAATGCACGATTGGAAAAGATAGAGCAAGAAGGAGGAAAAATAATGAGGGGAAATAATAAAAGTATGAAAAATACAAAGAAACAGTAGACTGTAAAGGCTCAGAGCCCCTTAAGAACAGAGTCAACCAGATCCCGAGTTCCCTAATTCTCCCGCCTCCAAGGCCTCGCCCAAATCAACTGCCAGGGCGCAGGCAGGCCGGGTCCCCTCTGCTGGTCCTCATTCCGGCACTCCCCTCTCTGTGCTTCTTTTCCGTTGGCATCGCTTCCCTCTTGCTATTTCCCTTCCCTTTCCTCTATCTTTTCTTCCACGGGGCTTCCCTCTTCTGCACTTGCTGCCTTGGGGCGCGATGGCTTAAGAGTCACGTCCCTTCCCTCCTCAGGACGCTGCATGTCGGTGTCTCAGGTCCCTAGCCTCTGCCCAGTGGCCCGCGGGAGTCTGCTCCCTTCCCTTCCCTCCGGGAACGTGCCCTTCCGCAGCCCCGCTCCCTTCGCATGGCCCGGGCCGCGGACCCTGACTAATGGCCTGTCCCTGCTGTGTGTGGGGTATCGTGTTTTTTTCTTGTCTCTCCCCAGCAGGGCACGGGGGTGTGAACCAGCTTGGGGGGGTGTTTGTGAACGGCCGGCCCCTGCCCGACGTGGTGAGGCAGCGCATCGTGGAGCTGGCCCACCAGGGTGTGAGGCCCTGCGACATCTCCCGGCAGTTGCGGGTCAGCCACGGCTGTGTGAGCAAAATCCTGGGCAGGTGAGGGCTTCAGAGCTGCTTCAGGCGTCGCCCTACCTCCTTCCCCAGCCTGCCCTGGTCTCTGGCCCTCAGACAGGGTTGAAAGCCCCCATGATGCCCAGCGGGAGAGGGAGCATCAAGGCTGGAGGGGCGCCTGAGAGAGCTGCTCCTTTCTAGGAAGGCTCTTAGGTGCGGGCTGCCTCCCCAGGAAGGAGGGTGGAACAGAGTCACCCAGCCTCAGTGTCCTCTCATGGAGGCCACTCAATTCTCTGCCTCAGAAAGGGAGGGATTCTCTTTCTAGATGAGTTAATGCAGACTAAAGGTTAGGTGATGGGGATGGGGAACACAAAGGGACCTCCAAGAGGAGAAAAAGCAGAATGTGGGAGCCCAAGGAAGGTCTTGGCTCCCACAGATGCTCTGGGCTCTGAGCTGGCCAGAGGTGTTCCACCGTGTGGGTCAGCCTGGAAGCTTCTTCATTGCACTCTTCCTCCTGCCCTCCCTAAATGAGAGTCTAGGCTTCCCCTCTTTCCACTCTGTCCCAGCTGGCTGCCCACTGCAGCCCCTGGCATCACTGCCTCTAAGGAGGGAAACTTTCCCTCAGGGGCTCCCTCCTTCTGCTGCATCCCTAGCCAGGCCACTCCTGGTAGTCAGCCCCGCCACACTGGGACTTCTTCTGGGTGCCGCTGCCTCAGGCAGGAGAGCTGCTTAGCTGCCCCAGAGTCTGTGGCCCTCTGTGGGCCCCTGCCACTGCTGCCCCTTGCTGACCCCGCTGGCCTTTGGCTCAGGTACTACGAGACAGGCAGCATCAAGCCAGGTGTGATCGGAGGCTCTAAACCCAAAGTGGCCACGCCCAAAGTGGTGGACAAGATTGCTGAGTACAAGCGACAGAACCCGACTATGTTTGCCTGGGAGATCCGAGACCGGCTTCTGGCCGAGGGCATCTGCGACAACGACACAGTGCCTAGCGTCTCCTCCATCAACAGGTGAGCACAGCCACCCTGCCTGCCAGGGCTGGACTCCGTCACTCCTTCCTGCCCCTGGGGCATCCCCTCCACCCCTGGGCGCCCACTCTTCCTCAAGCCACCACCTTTTCTCTCTGCTCTGAGCCTGAAAAAGTCTGGGCTGGAAAGGGAACTTGAAAGGCAGAGAGACAGACAGACAGACAGGGCTGTCCCTAGTCCAGGGCAGGGCATTGCCTGCCAGGCTTCTCCCTTGGTGTCCTGGAAATGAATCCAAGTGTTGGTGGTAATTAAGAATCCAAGATTATGAGCCTCGGTATCTAGAGACTATTACAGCCCACAACCCAAGTCTTTAAAATGACCGGTGTCTATTCATCGCCTCCAAATAGATGTCCCTTTCTACAGGCGCACTCCTTTCCCCAGGGACAGCCACCTGTCCGGGCTCCCCTGCTCTCCCTGCCAGCTCCCACAAAGCCAGCCTCCCCAGAGCCCAGCCCTGATAGCCAGCTGCCTGCACAAGCTTCCGGTCTCCAGGTCCTGCTATCCAAGCCCTCAGAGCAAATGCCTACCACCAGCCAGCAGTCAGTGGAGGGAGTAGAGGAGCTGGATCAGGAGTGGGTTGCCAGGCAGTCAGGGAAGACTCTGGACCCAGTGACTGGACCTACGGAGAAGCCCCACCCAACAACCTACGGTGCCCGTCTCCAGGCTGAAGTCTTGGCTGTGATGACAAGTTCAGAGAAAACACAGGCCAGTGTCATTGCCATATAGATAGCACAGGGCAGGAAGGTCTTACAACCTCAAAACCACTTCAGTGCTTATGTACCCCTTTTGTGGACACCATGGGCCAGTGTACAAGCTTGTCCATGTTTGTTGATCCATGGTAGGTCCAGATCATATAAGCAGCAGTTGATCTGTTCAGTGTCATATCCAGGCCCCCTCACAAGTTGCACAGACAAGTCCCACACAGCTTGGCTAGCCTGTCAATCCTTAGCTCCCCCATCTGTGGCTAACCCCAAAAGAGAAAAAACCAGGGTTAAGGATTCCATACCTGTGTTGTTCTTAGCATTCATCACAGACTCATTATCAAGGTAACTAATAATTCAGATGGTGCGTTTTTCAGAAACTGGCATCATGAACTGAAGGGGTTTTTTTTCTTAATATTTTGCAAATGATATGGAATTATCCCAAATCATCCTGAAAACAGCAGGTAAAATTAGCCAGTAGAATGTACCTTGGCTAAAGAAGATTCCCTCTGCCACGCTTGTGCTGTAACGTACTGTGAGGCGACCCCAGAAATTATCCCACTGTGTGCCATCTGTATTAAAATGGTTATTCAGTTATGAACAGGGTAACATAATACTGATCAGCTAATTATACACCCTCCGAAAACCCTCCAGCTTCCTGGGCCAGGTAGTGAAAGCATAGTGGTTTGACATTCAAGCACCTTAGAGCAAGAGCTGACTGAAGAGGCTGGTTGGTCTGCGAGAGGAATAAGCCCAGTATGTTTAAAAATCAGAAGATGAGGCTGGGGAAGCTCTGGGGCTGAGGCACAGAGGTGGTTGGGGAGAGAAAGGGGACAACACATTGTTTTTTGCTGCTGGGTTTGAGAGTAAGTTGGAATTGAGGTCTTGAGAACACAGTAGCCGAGTCCAAGAGTAGTCTGTCTATGAGCTGTTGTTGGGGCTGGGTGGCGGTGTTCTGGAGAACATTTTGTGAGAAAAGCTTGTTGTAAGTAACAGAGCTGGCGAGCCTTTCTAGGAACCAAGGACCTGGATGGTTAAAACAGTTTTGTTGGTTTTCTTTTTAAAATGCGGTGGACTGGGGTAGAAGTTGGTGGCAGCCTTGCCTAGCACCCTTTGCCTCTGTTCCCTGTGGCTGAGAGGTTTTGGAAGCAGGGTTTGGCCACAGCAAAACAATGCCTTCGTTATGAAAAGCCATGGAGAGCAGGGCACAGGTAGCCCTAGAAACAAATCCCAGAGGCCTTTAAGGTGCACCCACTGGAACTGGAAGCCAAATAGTGAGCTTCAAGGGAGATGTGGGTGAAGGAGTAGGCCCTGCTTCACACCTCTGATGGCTCCAGAGTCTACTTAGCACAAAGCCTTCTCATCCAAGGGGCCAGGATGCCTCCACTGGGTGTGTGAACAGTAGTGGGCAGGTGTTGCTGGAGGTGAACAGGAAGCAGGGTGGAGGGATGTGGGCTGCCATGGGCCATCTGCAGGCTTCTGTGAGGCTGACTGGAGGGTGCCGTTCGTAAGGAGCACTCAGGCTATTTTTGATACTGCTTTAGAACAGAATCCTCCCGTGCTTCATATTTCTGAAAGAATTCTGGAGGGCGCCCAGAGTGCTGTGGTGTCTGGACTGGCTGGCTTGCATCAGGACACCATCCTCTTAGCTGTGTTCCTGTCAGTGCTTTGCTTGTCTCTGAGATGCTTCACTGTAACGTTCAGTGAAGGCTTGCCTTTGGGTGCTGGTTATGCTGGCGCTTTGGCCCTTTTGCAGCCTTCAGAATCCTTGCTCATTCCAGGAAGGAGCTGGAGATTTCTTCTGTGCAGAACATTGGGGTGGTTCTTGAGTTTTGAGGCAGCTCTTTGCTGGTAAGGTGCCCACTGCGTTGGGTACTTTGGAATCGCGACGAGTAAGGGCATGTCTGTGCCAGTGGTTGGCAAGAAAGGGAGCTCACAAATGCTCCTCCACCTGAGCCAAATCACAAGGTGTTTCAGGCTCCCCTCCCCAAAACAGATGCTGCTGCCGCACTTGAAATATGCTGTTATGGTTATAAACAAAAACTGCATCTCATGCTTTAAAAATGGTCTTGGCATTCTCAGATCCTGTCGTGATAAAACCTTAGCCATCTATGTGAGCATATCCTCATAGAAATGCCTATTTGAACTAATGGAGTGGATCGGGGAGCCCCCATCTGCCCCCACCACGGGAACCATGGTGAAAAAAAAGCAGAGGATTGAGTAAATTACTTAGCGTGTGGAATTTATCTGAATCATTCTAAATATTGGGCTACTGATCACTGAGCGTGGAGTTGCCAGCTCCTCGGCTGGTACACCAGTGCTTGGAGGGAGAGTGTTTGTAAACAGGTAACTGTAGATGGAAACTTGGAATGGGAACTGGCCTGGAGGGAGAGAGATGGAGGGAGATCTGACTACTGAAAGGGGGATATGTCACCTAGTTACATCTGAGCAATTGACGAGGCCGAAAGAATGTTCCTGATTGTGTGCCAAAGTCTTCTGGTTTGGCTGTTGCTCTGGGCGGGGACTCTAGCTCCTTTTAAAGAACAGGAACACACTCCTCAAGTCTAGGGTTACTGGAGATCCCCTGAGGGTACTCTCAGAATGAGCTGACCATCACTCTCCAGCTATTCTAGCCTGCCTTCCACTTTGTGGGGCCAGGGAATCTCCTTGCCCTAATATCTTTGGAGTGGACTCTTCTAAAAGCCAACTTCATACTGATTAACTATCATCCACACTCTCCCTTAGCCTGCCTGGCTCTTGGTGAGCACATTCATGCTGTACCCCCAGTGCTGTGTTCAAGAATTCCTTTCTGTGGATTCCCCCAGTGCCATGCTAGAACTTCTTCAGAAACCTGGCAATGGGGTGACAGTGGTCCACAAGCTGTTTGTTCAAGGGCATTTCTAAATAAGCTGGAGGCCGCTCATCCTGGCCAGAGGAATAGTGAAGACACAGTCATGGCAGGGATCTGTCTCCCTCTCTCTTATTGTATCCAAGCATCCATTTGATTCTTAGACCTGACTTGGCCTGAAGCTGGCCCAGAGGGGTGGTGTTGACTTTCCACATTTCTACGTCTTTGGCTGTCAACCAGTGTGAGTTGCTGTGTAGAGAAGACTTCTCTTGTGAAGGAATGAGAACATAAAGACAGCGTGCTTGCCTGCAGTGACCTGGGTCCAGCAGACCAGTTCACATATAGCTCACAGACTTGCCAGGTTTTGCCTGAGAAGTCTGTCCATCTGTCCTCTACCAGAGACGATCACCTGCTGCTAAAGTTGCCTGGCATTAGAATAAGTTGTGAATAGGATGGGGGTGTTGATTTTATTGGGATCTCTGGATGATGTAAACTTACTCAGTGAATTGAAAGCTTGACCATTCCAGCCCACCTCAGGGTTCCTTGAAAGTAAGACCTGGTGGTCGACTTCTAAAAGGAAGGCTTGGAAAACACTGTGGAGCACACCAGACACATGAGAGGTTGCCAAGAGTCAGAACACGCCCACTGGCAACATGTTGGCATTGGTTGGTCAATTTATCCCTTAAAATGAGCTGGAATGGTCCTCCTCAAAGGCCCATGTTTGTGTTCAGAGACTGTTTAGACTTGGCTTCTTGCTCGTATAGGATCTTGCTTCTTAGTGACTGGCTGAGAGCAGGTCTTTAAAATGCTTTTAGGTGAAAGCAATGCCTGCCTGTCTTGGACTCTTTACTCAGCTAGCAACTCTTCTGCTGGGAAGACCCCTAGTGAAAGCTCCGGGTGGATTTTGGAAGGTGATGCAAAGGAGAAAAGAGAAGGGAAATCCTAAATAAATAAAGTGTGCCCCAACTGCTCTGAGAACTCAATAAAACAATCACATCAAATATGAAGAGGCATAAATCTTGTGTCTGCACAGGTAACCTACTCAATTGCTTTTATTATTGCTCAGGCTGCCTCCATTTATTACGATCCGTGGTCCAGGCCAAGGAGGCTGCATGGAGGGTGGTCTCTGGTGCAATCCTACACCTCGGGAGAGGCAACAATCAGCCCATGCAGCTCGGGATTTCGATGGGAGCCAGGAAGGGCCCATCTGTCTGCATGAAAACCAATCAATAACTCTGTAACCAGAGCCCTGTCACAGGGAAATGGACAACACAACAGTTCAATACAGGGGCCACAGGGGGAATTAGCTGAGTGGAGATGGGGCCAGGCAAGAGCAGGCCATGGAGAAGGGGATCAGGGGTACCTGGGGTACCTGGGGAGGAGGGTGTGAGGATGTGGCCGGGTGAGCATAGATTTGTGTGCATATTGTCATA